AACATCGATTGAAAAGTCGCCTCATTGCTGCGGGAAGAGTTTTGATTGGAAACAAGCAGTGGTTTATAGACTCTACGAGTAAGTTCGGCGGGAAGTTCCCAGTTGTACCAGATCTCGGAATTCTTTCTAGGGCTCTTAGCTTGGGCATTCCGGCACATGCAGACGGTCATGGATATGAAAATTTCGTCACATGAGCAGTCGCATCTCGCTGCCCCAGTTTATAAGACCTCTCTCTGTCTACAAGGCAGCCTGCGATAAAATAGACCTGTAAAGTGGACGTGGACGTTGTCACCGTAGATCTGGAAGCTACTTTTTCTGCTTGCTCATCTCTTGCAGTGATGCCCGAGGCTTTCTAACCAAGATGCCCTTGGGTTACAAGCGATCTAGGAGCAAAAAGGAGAAGCATTTGCAAAGAAAATCGGAGCAAAAAAAATGCAAAAACAAAAGATACACGCCCAGTTGAACTGCGCGTCTCGCGAGCTGACCAGCCAGGCCCCGATCGAGATATTTCTTTTGCCTAACCTCACGGCGGTTTTACCAACTAGACCACTTGGCCTAGCTGAACTGATCGTTGGGGGCATTGGGGATAGTTTGGTACATGAAGCATACCCTCATGGCAAGAGAGATGCCGGGCGGTGCTCTCCGGGTTCTTGTCTCTCACGGACGCGGCGATGCGTGAGGGGAGAACCTCGACGGCTTAATCATGAGGAAGAAGAACTATCCCACCATTTTTGGCTCGACACCACCTTTCAGAACTATACGACTGGGTTAGAAATTTTCACTACTGATTACAAGACGTTCACATACCTGTCTGGAAAGGTCTGGCTGTCGCTTGACAACGCCATTGAAATGCCTCGTACAACCGAGCACAGGATTCGCGGTTAGCAATATGCTGTTCTCCAAGAGTTGGCAGTCCTGAATCACTCTGATGAGTTTCAGGATGACGCTGAGCAGCCGTTTCCAGGAGAATATGCCGCAAGACGGCGTAAAAGTATAACATGACAGGCAACCTGGAGTCTCTGCCTCTTCGTCCTTGATTCATCGCAAGCGATAATTCTCAGGAATACAGCCTGCTGCCAGGGTAGCAACCAACCACTCGCAGGTAATTGAGGTCACTGCTATGTGTACCGCTCTCTGCATGAATTGAGTTGACGCTAACAAGCCCGGAGTTAGAATCGTTGAGATATGGCGGATGAAGTTTCCTTGGGCACGCCAGTCCGATAAGTGGCTTGCTTCGACGTTGAGTTGAACAGGGGTTTGAGATGCCCTGGCAGGGGTCAGAGTTGTGATGGATAGCAAATGAGAATACTTATCGACATACAGCCTCGAGTGAATGTATGTTAGTGGCCGTCAAGGATTCAACTCATCTTCGCAACTCATGACGGAGTTTTCATGTCAACTCACTGGCAAGTGTTATTATTAGATGCATCTGGATAGACGACGGGTACCTGAACGCCCTGGACGAAATAAAAGAGTGGACCAGCTGGAGCTAGCCAACAAGCTCAAAACGGCCAGGTGCAATTAAGGTCCAAGTTGGGGAAGGACAGATAATCCATTTGCCGGGCCGGAGGCGAAAGCAGCCAGGTCACAGTGGTACTTCATAAGGGCCAGTAGTGGGTGGGTCTCGTAAGGCGCACTGACTGGACACTGAGCCGTAACCCCCCTGTCCGGAATCTACCACCGCAGTCTTTCGAGGCCACGATTGTCAAAAGAAAGTGACTGACCAGCAGCGCAGACGGTCAACGGACACTTTTGCTTCCTCAGCCCAGAGTTGTCTCCCGCTACACGGCACAACCCAACCCACTGCACAGCGCCTGCTGTTCTTTTCCCTCAGGGTTTCTGTATTCTTCTGTTTCTTTCTAGTCTGTCTGCTGCAACGACACGACTGTTTCTCCGTGCCGGCTACGCCGCTCGTTCCTCTTACTTTTCTCGCATCTCCCGCGACACTCTCTTTGACGTGGCATCTTCATCGCGACACCACAACCGCCCAGCCGCTGCTCCAATCCCGCCTTCACCCACCCGTCCCAGAGCTCTCGAGCTCGCCACGCCGTCAAGATGAGTTCCGACTACTCGTACGACTCCGAGGCGCAATTCTACCCCTTCTTCATCCTCGCCCTCAGCAGCATCATCACGCTGCCCCTCGGCTACACCCTTCTCTTCCCCTCCAAGGACATCGAAGCGAAAGCCCCGCGCATTCAGAGCGACTACAAGCCCGAACATGCCGACCTAATCGAGAAACAGCGCAAGGCGCACGAGAAGAAGCAGCGCCGCATCGTGCGCGTCATCTTCGTCCTCGCCGGCCTGGCCCTCATGGCCGGCATGGTCTACCTCATCCTCCACGTCCAGACCGTGACCCCCAAGATCTGGAACCCCTATGACATCCTCGGCATTTCAGACGTACGTACAATCGGTCGCTATACAGTTATCCAGCACTAACAAGCTCCTAGTCCGCCGACGAGAGACAAATCAAGAAGGTCTACAGGAAACTCTCCCAGAGACTGCACCCCGACAAGGTCAAGCCCGACCCGGCCAAGAACGAGACCATCGAATCCCTCAACGCCGCCTACGTCGAGATCTCCAAGGCCTACCAGGCGCTCACCGACGAGGAGGTCCGCAATAACTACATCCAATATGGCCACCCCGACGGAAAGCAGAGCTTCAGCATCGGCATTGCGCTCCCCAAGTTCATGGTCTCTGACGGCAACGGCAAGTACGTCGTGCTCGCCTACACCCTGCTCCTCGGCGTTCTCCTGCCTTATCTCGTCGGATCCTGGTGGTACGGCACCCAGCGCATGTCCAAGGACGGTGTCCTCATGGAGAGCGCCAACAACCTGTTCCGCGCATACAAGGAGGACGTTGACGATGGTGGTGTCGTGACTGCCCTGAGCCACGGAAAGGAGTTTGAGAGTGTCCTCAAGGGTGACAAGGCCGAGTCTGGCCTTTCCAAGCTCGAGTCCAAGCTGTTCGCCAACGCGGAGAAGGCTGGTCTTTCGCAGAAGGACAAGCAGGCTCTTGAGGATCTCGACAGCGGTGTCCGCCGCAAGACCCTCGCGCTTCTGTGGTCCTACCTCGGTCGCATCGATCTCGAGGACCCTGCTCTGAACAGCGCCAAGTATGAAGTCGCCCCTATCGCCCACGCCCTCACCAGGTCTTTCTCCTCCATCGCCCAGGCTTACGGTAGCACCGGCCCCATCTTGGCCGCGTACTCTGCCAGCCAGCACCTGATCCAGGCCACGCCCCCCAAGTCGTCCCCCCTCCTCCAGCTGCCTTACTTCAACCAGGAGATCGTCAATGCCGTCGAGGGCGGCGACGAGAAGGTTCACGTCTCCCTCCAACAGTTCATGGATCTCCCCGACACCCTCCGCAGAAACCTGACGGTAAAGAAGGGCCTCCTCACCGAGGAGCAGTACAAGACCGCGCTCGACGTCTCCAGGCAGCTTCCTCAACTGCGCGTCGCCAAGGCGTTCTTCAAGGTCACCGGCGAGCGCTTCATCATCCCCTCGTCTCTGGTCACCCTGGTTGTCAAGGGCCGCATCATCCCCCCTGGTAGCGAAAACGTCCCCGAGATCGACGAGGTGGATCTGGAAGACATTGACCCCGCGGAGGACGACCTCGAGGCTTTCCTGGGCCGCAAGAAGAAGACCATCAAGGGACCTGACGGAAAGACCATCCCCGTTGATGACAAGCCGATTCTGCCTCCCCTCGCCCACTCCCCGTACTTCGCCCGCGACCACGCTCCCAAGTGGTACGTCTTCTTGACCGACTCTAAGCAAGGCAAGATGGCCGTTCCTCCCTTCACCTTCACCCAGTTCGACCAGCCCATCTTCGGCGAGGATGGCAAGCCCACCTTCAACATGCAGACCCTCAAGGCCCAGTTCGCGGCACCCCCTCAGGCCGGCCACTACACTTTTGTCATGCACGTCGTGTGCGATAGCTACGTCGGCTTCGACACCAAGATGGAGGTGACCTTGGTGGTCGAGGAGGCGGACAAGGCTGCTGCAATGGCTGCCGAGGACGAGATCAGCGAGCCTGATGAGGGTAAGTCTCCTCCTGAACATTCACACAAATCACCCAAAGCTAACCAATCTACAGACTCGATAGCCGGCCAGATGCAAGCCCTCAAGGGTGGAAGCGTACCCGGTGCCACCAAGCCCCGCAGGACAGCCGCCGATGATGACTCAGATGAGGAGAGTGGTACTGATGACGACATTGAGGACGACACGAGCGCGACAAACACGGACACCGAGGACGAGTCATAAGGGCTTCTCCCCCGTGCAAGGACGAGCCCGGTGAGCGGGCGTGTATGAATGTGCAATAGTAGAGAAAAAGAAAAGGCAAAGAAATCAAGGAGTGGTAGGACTCGCAAACAATATACCCCAAGTCACAACTTCAACACACCAACATCACACCAAATGTGGCTGGGCTTGACGCTCGGCGATGAATACGAGTACTGATGAGATCATACTTGTAGGCGGACAGGTCAGGGGCGAAGGGTTGAAGTGGGGGCAGACGGACGGATGTCCTGTGCATAGGGTGGCCGACACGCACCCGCCAAGCGTACATAGATATAACCGGCGTTGTTCAGGTAGTTGCCGTGGGCTCTCTTTCTGGTTTGATTAATCTACAAGCAATCTTTTGGTAAACTGTATCAAATGGCGGTTCAATTCGCTTTCAATGCTGTTGTCATGCTGTATCCACGATTGATACCAAGCAGAGTAGGCATTGATGATGCCTTACTACTGCTCCATTGCACAATATGTCAAATCAGCGCAGCCGACTCGTTTATAACAACGCCCATCACCGCCTTCCTGAACCTTTGGAAATGCAACATCAAAAAACACAATATCATTTACAACGAGTTCCCCCCTTCATCTCAACATTTGCTCCCTCCAAGCATCCGGGTATTTATTTTTGGACAGGTATTCAGCCCGCCAGCCGCCTGCCCTGCTCTGGTAACTCCGTCCGTTCCGCCGCGCCGCCCCTAAACACAGATACTTTATTTACTCACTAAGCGCCTGGAGTGCCTGGGTCAGGGGCACCACGCGCAGACTCCTCCCACGCTTCAAGGGACTTGAGCTTCCGCTCCTCACGGGCATGATGGTCGGGCTGGCCTCGTCCCGCCACTTGCGGAAGACGCTCTTGAGGTCCTTGGGGATACCCTCGAGGACGACCGTGGAGATGGGAATGAAGGGGCGGTCTTCCATGCCGCTGGCCAAGATGGCATACTCCTGTGCGAAGTCGAGGGCGATGCGGAACGAGCTGTACTGACTCTGGGCGAACTTGCCAACAATGATGTACATCTCAAAGAAGGCGTCCAGGACGTAGATTCCCGAGGGGTCCAGATCTGCTTGAGTGAACGGGGCGATTTCAACGACCTGAATTTCGTTAGATTGCATACCAGAGCTGATCCAGGAATTGTATCATCTTACCTGCTGCTTTGAAGCCGCGTTAGACCGGAACAGGCGCTGACAGTACTTGTCGTAGCTCGGCTTCAAGCGCCAATGGTCCGCGGACGTAGCCTTTGAGCCGCCGTCGAAAATGCCCCAGAAGCTGTCCGGCTCACTGCCGTCGTCGATCTCCAGGAGCTCGCCCGTCAAAGTCAAGTCCATACCTATGAGACGCGCGCAGCTCTGCTCGTCCACATCACTACCCTTGCCCTTCCACAGGTAGCACTTTCCTGAGGTTGCGATCAGGAAGGGGAATCCTGAGCAGAGGCTCGCCGAGGACAAGTCGACCTCATCAAACACAAAGGTGTGTTGTCCGAGGGTACGACGGCCGCAGAGCATGCTAGGCGCCAGAGAGTCGTACTTGGTGCTGGTGCCCCGGCGAATGATAATCATGCCGCCAAGTGCCAGGATGAATTCAGGGGTTTCTCTGCCCTGGCGCATCCTCACAACCTTTCCGCCGAGAGACCTGGCTTCCCGGTTCACAAACAGAGAGGCATCTTCGGCAGTGGCGTCGGGCACCTCGTCGCCCGCCCAGAAGTACACCTCCGTTGCCTTTCTGCCGGTTTCGTTTGTGAAGGTAAAGGCGCAGATGTACATTTCCCGCTCAAACAGGATGCGCTCGTTATGCGCCGGCACGGGGATCTTCTTGCCATCGCCAGTGATTTGGAATAGCCGACCGCCCTGGCCCTGGATGTTGCGAGCCTGGGGCTTATTCATGAGAATTTCCGCAGTATCAACCCGGAACTCTCTCTGCGGTCTCGGTGTGCCGAAAAAGTCATCCAGCATGGTCGACACATCCGGTCCCTGCTTGGTCGGAGATCGCATCGGCGATGTTACGGGCGTAGGGGAAGATGGCTTCGGGGGAAGCGGCAGTGGCCTGGCAGCGGCCTTCGGGGTGCTGGTTCTCTCCACAGGAGGCGCGGGGTTGTCAAAGCGGGAGATGTTCTCAACGGGAGGCGAGTTCAGTGGCGACCTCACAGGTGATCTCATGGGAGGAGGCGACTTCACGAGCGGCGGTGACTGTGCCACGGATCCTCCAAACATGGCTGTGGCGTTCTTGACAGACACGACTGGCTCGCTGTCGACCTTGTCGTTCGGTGCCATCTTTAGAGGTGAGCTAGGCCGCGAGAGGCGGAGAGGCGCCACGTGAGGGCTGTAGTCATTCGGAGGCGGGGATCTGATGGGAGATCGAACTGGCGACCTGGAGGTGGGTTCAGGCAACGGCCGCGCCCCGAACGTCTTGATCGGAGTGGGCTGCGCGGGCTCCTCGCGGGGTTCCGCAAACGACTTGCGCGGAGAACTGGGCCTGGGCTCTGGTAGAGGCCGTCCAGAAGTCTTGACAGGGGAAGCTTCCTCAACCTTCTGCGGTGTAGGGCTAAGAGGCTTCTCGAAGACCGGCTTGGGCTCGAACCTCGGCGTAGAAACGGGACTCTCCTTCTTAGGGCTGCTCGGTTGGGGGATCTCCCTCACAGGACTATCGGGCTTGGGGCTCTCCTTTCTCGGCTTTTCCCTCTTAGGACTTTCGGCCGTCTTTGGACTCTCGGCCCTCTTTGGACTTTCGGCCCTCTTTGGACTCTCGGCCCTCTTGGGGCTCTCAGGCTTGGGGCTAGCCTGGGTGGTGTCATCCAAGAATATCGACATCCTCTTCATATCCAGCTTCTTAGGTGACGTGGGCTGGGCGGTAGGCTCAACCGGCTTTTCCTCCTGAAGCTTGATGGGGGAAGACTGAAGCTTCATGGTGGGGGACCTTGACCTGCGGGTCGGCACCGGTTCAGCATCTTTGGGGCTGAAGACTGGCTTCTCCGCAGACTTCTCGGCAGGCTTTTCAGGTTCTTCGACGGGTTTCTCGAACGACTTGAGAGGAGCCGGCCGGCTCTTCAAAGCCGCTTGGGCAGCGACTTGGGCATGGATTGAAGGAGGCGCTTCCTTCACCGGGCTCTTCTTGGGCTCCTCCATCACGACCGGCTCCTCATCCTTGACCGGCGAAGCGGGCGCCGGGCTTGACTGAGACTCCACAGGAGCTGCAGCCTTTGTAGGAGCCTTTCTCCTCGGACCACGAGCACGGCCCTTGGTCATGTGCGTCAGCTGCGGGCCCGGTGTCGTGGGCTCTGAAGAAGCCGAGGCGCCGGAACCCTCCGACTTTTCAGAGTCTTTCCCTCCGGCCATGGGTAGCGGACCGCGAGCCAGAAGCCCGGCAAGCGCAGGGTTGAAACGGTTTGCAAGCCCACCAGCCGCAGCGCGGCCTTGCAGGCGGGCTGGGGGACTGGTCTCCTTCTGAATACCCGGAGAGGTGACCGAGCCGGTGGGAGACTTGATCGATTCCGCCGGAGACTTGAATGACGGCGAGGGCGCCGCGGAGTCATCCTTTGGCTCGTCTCTCGACATGGACTGAGGCCGCCCGCTGACAGATTTGCGATGTTCCATCGTGTAGTCTGACATGTCTGGCCTGGAGGAAAGAGATTTGCTAAATTCAGCCTTCTTCAGCAAGGCCTCAGGCACCGGTCTATCGGCCGCGTTGGATTTACTGCGAGCGATGCCTCTGCCTTGTTCTTGGGCAGCCTTGAAATCTTCCTTCTTCTTCAGGATTGCATCCTTGAACTCGTCCTTGCGCTCGCTGGGCTTGGGGCCACCGGTAATGTTGAGACCTGCTTTTCCGCGAAGGATGTTACCCTTGAGCTCATCTGGGGCAACGTAGTTTTGAGTCTTGGTTCGACGCAGATTACCAAAGACGTTTGCTAGTTCGTTAGGCTGTTCCTTGGATGACCCTGCATCGCCAGAGGGGTTCCGAGACTTGAGGCCGGCACGGAAATCCTTCTTTGGTGGGGTCTCGGGCTTGACCTTTGCAGCAGCAGGGCCGTCACTGACTGACGATCGTTTCGGGATATCTCCAATTTCTCCCTCAGGTTTGGCGTCATTGATCGGGCTCTTGATTTGACTATTGCGGAAGCTGCTTCCACTGATGCTGCCGCTTGATCTATGTGATGTCTCAGTTGGTGGAGTAAAGATGCCCTTCAGCCCACTGACAGAGGGCTTGGAGGTATGACCGCCCATGGGTGACGACCGCATGAGCCCGCCAATATTGACCTCGTGCTTTTGGGAGGAGACGGATCCGGCTCGCCCAAGATCAACACTCCCACTGGCAGCCTTTTGCGCCTTTGCTTTGTTCAGCTCGACCATCCACGCCGGTTGATTCGTTGTGGGCGGCGGCTTCGGCTTCGGCGACTCTGGCTTGTTCAGTGCTGTCTCCAGCCAGCTAGCTTTGGTCGGGCTCCATCTCCTGGAATCCATGGTCTTGGACGGACTTGACGGTGGTGTCACCTTGTCCTCGTCGTCTTCGGTCGGCTTCGGATCCGGAGTGGGATCGGCGACAGGTGCCTTGGGGGTGGTTTCCAGGTCATTTTCTTCTGCTGTAGGACCATGGCGTGAAGCAGGACGAGAGGCGTGGCGAGACGCAGGGCGAGAACGGGAACGAGCTCTGCTTGTGCTCGTAGGAGTGGACGCTCCATCGCGAATGACCATACTTTGCGGCCGTGATCGAGACTCACCAGTCCGGCTTGAAGCGGCGGAGTCGGCACGGACGAGCCCAGTAGGAGACGTGACACTCCATCTCTTTACACTGTCTGACCTCTTCATCATGGCACTCTGCACAAAGCCGCCCATGCCCTTCGTCGGCGAGACAGGTCTTGTAGGCGATGCGCGTCCTGATCCTGACGACAGGGCTGACGCTCGCTTGTCATTTTCGGGAGAGATCTCGGCAGGGGGATCGAGTCTTTGCGCGGAGCTTAATGACAGCGGAGATGCCAGGCCTTTCGTAGGACTCGAACTTTCTGGAGCGAGATCGGTGGATGAGCTGCGGCTCATGCCTGGGAGCTGCTGGCGCATGGCCGACATGTCGGTTGTATCTGTGTCTTCCACTTGGCTCTTGCGGCTGGCGGCGGAGGCAACGCTAGCTCTGTCGGCCGTCTGGCGGAACCAGGAGGGGTCCTTGGATCCCAATGCCTGGGCGATCTGGTCCTTGGAGAAGGACTGCTCGGTTGCGGAGGCGGGGTCAGAAGGCGGGTTTGGCGAGGTCCTCGCAGCGTTCTCGGCGGCGACGACGGAGAGGGGACGGCTCTTGGATCGGTCGGAGTGTTGCGAGTTGGGACGCCTCTGCCAGGAGAGCGGTCGCGCTCCTTGTACGCTGCCGGTAGGAGAGGTGACGCTCGTTCGCTTGGTATCAGCATCGAAGGGTGAATCGTTCTCCTTGGTGGGGGAGGTGGAGGAGAAGCTCTCCATGGTGTCAGAGGCCGTGATACCACGAGATCGAGGGCTTCCGGTCTGTTCGAGGCCAGGTGAAGACAGCCTCAGATCATCGGAAAGCTGCGTGGTGTTGCGTTGAGACGAGGGTGGTGGGGTATTGGCCGGGGATGACTTCTGAGGGGAAATGGATCGGGCGCGTTCTGTCAAATGTTGTCAGAAGGAGGGGTTGATGCAATTCTGGCAAATAGCACTGCGAGCACAACAAGGGAGAGAAAAAAACACAATGGCAGATGAGGAAACACAGAAAGCGTGTTGATGATTTTTTTTCTGCAGGGCGCAAAGTAGACGGGCAACAATGGACGAAGGCCGTGTGCTCTTGGTAGTGCAATGTGCGTGTGGCCATTGGAGTGCCGTGGGTTGGTGTCAAGGCGTCGAGGCGTCGCCCGCGTCTCGCCCAGTGCGGCGGCGGTCCCGTCAGTAGCTCAGCTTTTTGGTCAAGGGCAACCTGAACCTGAACATAGCACAGCACCGAGCACTCGCGCAGGATGGGCAAGACGCGAAGTAGGATGCGTAGCTTGGCCGAGTTGGGAAAAGAAAGCTTACAGAAAAAGACAAGACACGCAGGTAGGAATAGAACAACAGGAGCACCAGCGAAGGTAACGCAGGTGAGGGACTGCGCGGGAAGTGAGGGACAGACGGAATGGAGACAGAATGAGAGACAAACAGAACAGGTGTCTGGGCTGGGCAGAGCAAAGCAAGGGAAACACAACAAGACGTACCGGCACGACGAGCCTGGCGTTCCCTCTTCTCCTGCTGGATCTTCTCGTCCAATTCGCGCTGACGGGCGTCGTCCTCCTCGGTGCGGCGGGCATTCATCTCCTTGACATCCTGCAAAAACTTGGAGACGTCGTCCATGACTTGTTCCGACATGTCGAAGCGGGAGGCAGAGTCATGACACGATTGCGGTGGGGGAAGAATGGAAACGGGTGGTTCTGTATGCGCAGGTATCCCCCGGTGAGAAGGTATGCCGTGGCAAGGCGAGCAAGCGTGGTGAGCCCCTTTGGTTGGAGAAGGATATGTTGTCTATTTTTTCCCTTGGCCGGTGCTCCTCAACGGGACGGGATGAGGTAGGCAGGCGGAGGCAGAGGCAGAGGCGGAGAGGGAGGTAGCGGGAGGTACTTCGTCACCACCACCTCAGAGGTCCAGTCGAATCTGGGATGGGACGGGATGGGATGGCGCCGCTAACGAGCTGGAACTTGCGTGCGAGAAGCAAGGTACTGGGCGCGGCAGGGTGCAGGACGCTGCTGGAGGTACGGTAGGTTGGTTCCGAGGGTTTGGTGAGGGGGCGCGTGAGACTAGAGGCCTTAGGTAATGCACGAGGTAAATAAGGTCGTGTGGGTGAACGGCGACAGGACGGGACCTGCGTTTGTTGATGAGAGGCTTGAGGCTCAAAGCTAAGAGCAGCAAATGAGAAGCTGACGGCAGAGGTGAAGGAAGCAGGTTTTTGGACTCGTCAATGGCCGATGCGAACGACTGTTGCATCCCGCGTTGGCGACCCGACCTTTCTGCCTTGGGGCCCTAGCTACCTACCTTACCTCTCTCTACCTATGCAGTCTGGCCAGGTACACACATATGATAACGAATGCTACGTCCGCCGAATACTTTTGCCCTGTCCTTGGTCTAGCCTTGGCTGCGAAGACTGTACCGTCAGGCACTGGTCACAGATGACAGCCCAGCACTCCAAACAATTTCACAGTTGGGAACAGACGTTGGGCCCATAGTCCGTGTTGATTTCCCCAAGTCTCAGCGCTAAGAGACCAATCTCTCAGAGCTGCTTCTCGTCACCTCATCCAACGTTCTGAACCACCACAGGTAGAAACGCAATCCTCTCAGTAACGGCTCATCCGGCTGCAGGAAGATCCAGCTCAGCTCGGCTCAGCCAGCCCAAGTCGGCTCAGCGCAGCCACGGAACTCGATGAAAAACAACAAAACACACAAAGGAAGCTCGTAAAAGAGGTACGTACCCGTCTTTCTTTACCTCAGGCAAAGACTGGACGCTCGGACCATTGACTTCTCCACACTTGCAACCCCTGTCTCACATTGGGATATCGCTCGTACCTGAGATCCCTTGACTTGGGGCCGCACCAATTTCGCCGTTCAAGCACCTCACTGGCCAGCGGGAGCGTTTCAATCACGTCGTTTCAAACCATGATTTCATGGAGGGATGTCCTGGCATTCAACACAATTCCCCTGCTATTCAAGCCGTCCAACGGTGCTCAAGGCACGAACAGCGTTGTTTGTCGCGTGCCCAACACCTGGCAAGTTCATCGGCATCGCTGAAGCACCAAGCAGCAATCTCTCGGGCATCATCGGGTCAGCGGAGGCCCAATTTTAAGCAATAACCACCAGGCCGTAAGACGCAAAGAAATCCGACATGCTTCTGGTCTCTAGCTTTCAGCCTCAGCTTACGTTGGCTTCCAATTAGGCGGTCCCCTTTTCGCCGCGTGGATGCGCTGCATTATAACCTCCGAGTCATCCATCTATCTGCCACCCATTACACAACCTCGACCCTGACTTCCGGGCCGTAACACCCCATCGGATCCGGTATGTCGTGGGACCAGCCTTCCAGAATACATTGTCATGCCCTGCCGTCCCCCTTTCGACCTAAAGAACTTCATGCTGGTTCCTGCCAGCTCATCCCAGCATCCAACGGCGCGCTCGGCAGCCAGCTGTACTGGCTGCCGGGACATCCTCGAATGCCGTCAACCGCAGAGCCTCCCTTTCTCCTCCATGTCCATGATATTTGCTTGTCGACGTCAGCGGGATACCAGCCCCTTAGTACAGAAACAGCCTCTTTTTTGCGTCTTCCACAACCCATGCCAGGCCCTCCTTGAGATTGGCGCCTGTCATGGCGCTACATCGCAGGATGTGCCAGCGGTGCGTCCTGATGGCTTCTAGTTGTAACCCCTGAGAAAAAATCAGCGTGTCAGCCTCGGGTCGCCAGGGGTGACCGGGACGCACATCGAGTATTTCCTGCTCATCCATGCATCCGTTCACATCGGTCTTGTTCGCAAAAACCAGGAGACTGGCTCCAGAGAGTCGCTGTTATCCATGTCAGCCCTATCGAGAGAAGGGGTCTGCGCCCAAGAGACCTCTTCTTGCAAAAGCCCATGCAGTTCCTCCATGCAATCCTGGATTCTCAGCCGATCTGTGGCGTCGACGACCCAGATCAGGGCGTCCGTCTTTTCAAAATAGTTACGCCAGTATGACCGCAACGTCTTTTGGCCGCCCACGTCCCCTGCTACGGTCAGAGGGCCGGTCACCCGTATGAAGGAATCACCCACAGATGTTGAGTTTGTATCTGAGCCGTGTCAATCAGCAGCACTGAGAAGTGGAGGACGCTCAACGCACCCATCGTAGTCGATAGTCTTGATGATGAAACCCAATGTTGGGCTCACCGTGTTGACATCCTCTCCCATGATCTTCTTGACAATCGTTGTTTTGCCCGCATTGTCAAGACCTCTGGAGAGTCTGTCAGTGGGGTCGGCCAAGTATTGCGGACTCGCAGACTGACAGCATCAGGATTCGCATCTCCTTGTCCTTGAGGCGGGCTTTCCGTAAGATGGACAGCATTTTGCAATAAGCGTGATGGTCTGTGGTACAAGGTATCTAAAAAGGGGCGCCTGCAAGATTCCTGATTTGTCTCTCGTATTGCTGCGTCTTGCATTATTCACGTTGACCGATGCAGACTGCTCTAATTCGGGCGCCTGACCAACCCGGGCACGTGACACTATCGGGCATGCGGTCTCGGTCTAGCTTCGGTGAGGGGCAGCTCATTGGCGTCTCACCGAGTACACCGACCACTTCAGCAACTACACTCGAAGCTGATTTTCGTCCTCGTTCATCGTAGAAATATCTTTTCGAATCGGATAATACCGAAAATACTTCTAGCAAGTTTTCCTGTTAAATTCTTAGATTTATTACCTAAATGTTAGGTCAAAGACAAGTGAAATGTACATAAATTGGTGGAGATGCTCAGACTCGACTTCTGAATGCAGTTCAAAGTCGCCGAGAACCTCTTAGCGCCTTTGAGTCCTAAAGCCTGAATTGAATATTTACTCCAAGGTTGAAAAGATCAACTCTGACTGAAGGGAAGGCACCTTCCACAAAAAACAGCTGCTCCTGCCTTTGATATCAGAGAACTCTCCCACACTTTGCGCCAGACCACCCGTTTTTCCTTTCCCTCTTCTTCTTAACCTCCCCCATCTCCACCCACCTCTCTCTTCCTTCTCACACACAACAACAGATTCTGTGAAACTTGGCTACAACACCAGTAGCAGTGAGAAAATTCAAGGCATTGCCCTGACTTTTTCTCCTGCCCAAGTTCACCGTCGCGCCAAAAGCATTTGGTCTCTGTTACTACAGGTTGCTGCATTCTTTTCACCAGACAAAAACACTCAGAAGCGCGACCCATACTCCCTCTCTTTCACTTTCAAGAACTTCACAGCCGACAGGCAAAGCAGTGAGATCTTGGTGTTCCTTCCTTGGCACCTCTTTCATTCAACCTTCCTGTAAGTGTGCGCAGCAACAATTGCTCAACCTCAAAATCTTTTGTCAGATTCTTTATACTGATCTCACAACAGGCATCTACGAGCCTGAAGGTGCTTGATTTCTCTGTCTCAACCACACCATCTACTCGTTTGAGATAGAACCAAGAAGTCACTACAATGACCGGGGCAGATCAAGAGCGCGGTGGCCGAGGCAGAGCCCCAGATGAGAACACTCGTCGTCGCCGCCAGGGCAGCCCTTACCCTCGCGCCATCATCAGCTCCTTCTCTGCAGGCAGTATGCCTTCCCCGACCAGCATGCCCTGCCCCACTGCGACTTCCTCCCCGATGCAGCTGCCGGTTGAAGACAGCCCCAACGAGAAGCCTCGAGTCCCTGGCATTCCTTCCTTCTATTTTCCCATCCCGAGAAGCCCTGGCCCTAAGGTAAACGAACCGAGCCAGCGAACCTCCATCCGCTGGGACAAGAATCTGCCTCTTCCCGACCGGAAAAGCCCTACCTCACCTGTCAGCAAGATTCCCTCCAGCCCTGAGTCGCCGGAGCCTATTCCGCAAAGAAACCGCGATTTTAGCTACGGCAGCGACTTCGTGCTTACTCGAGATCGCGATCGCTACTTCCTGGCAAGACAGACAGAGAAGCAAGATTTTCAGGAGGAGGCAAATTCCACTACAAGCAACACGCAACAGAGAGGCAGCTCGCTGCATACCGACTCCGAAATGGCTTATTCTGACTACTCCCGTGGCCCTTCGGCTTTCGGTCGTCCCACCGCGCCTATCACGCGCGTGTTTAACGAGGAAGTCGATCGTGCTCAGCTGACCCAGAATGCATTGCAGTCAATCCCCAATGGAGAACAGCACACCAGACGGGAGTCAAGCAACAGCCGGTCTTCCTGGGATGTTAGCGCTGACGACGAATCTTCAAACGATGGAAGTGTTTCTTCACGCGTTGCGCCGTTCACACCCAGTCCCGTCGTCGAGCAATGGATCCAAGATCTCCCCACAGGTATCGTCTTTTCACTGTCGGACTGCGTTCGCGACGACTGGGAGTACGAGTTTGGTATCGATCCCGAGACGGGAGATGTGATGGAAGAAGTCAAGCAGCCCAACACAATGATAGACTGCGACGAGGAGGGCAAGATGTCCCAGAACTGGATCCATCGCCGTCGAGGAATGACCAGCAATGTACTGGTATACAAAGAGATTGACGTTCGTGCGAAGCTCATGAAGCGACAGGAACAGGAGCGCATCAAGAACCGAGCCAGAAAGACGGTCAAGCAGATTCAAGATCAAGCCGTTGGCCGCTTGCCCCAGCCCAAGGAGGCAGAGAAGCACAAGGTGCAGCCTCTTACCGACTACACTCTCCGTCCCGCCTCACTGAGTGATGCCAATGGCTGCGCCAAGACCTACAACCTCTCCGTTGCGGCCCAGGAGCCTCTTGCCGACTCGACCAACGTCTCGACGCAGCATTTCGAGTCCGTTTCCAGAGAGTGTTTTCAGCATAAGCTGCCCTTCGTCGTCGCAACTCAGACGAGCGTCGACCTCCGCGATCCCAAGAACTGGCCCTCCCGTGTTGCCCACCGCCAGTATATGCAGCAGTTCCAACATCTGCTGGAAAACCAGCCGAAGAATGATGATGCGACCATATGCGGATTTGGATTCCTTGCTCCGTATGAGAAGGGTATTAGCTTGACCACGGGCGCCGCTGCAGACACCGCGAAGGTGGTCGTGTTTGTCCACCCTGATCACCGCCGCAACGGTGTTGGCAGCGCCTTGCTTCACCGACTACTTTCACAAACGTCTTTGATGTTTCACGGTCATGCTCAGTACGAGTGGCGTGACCCCGACGCTGTCGATGATGGATTCCATCGGCCTGACTTCAAGCCTATTCACCGTGAGTTTCTCATATGTCTGCTGGATGCCACCCAACTAACGAACGGCAGGCATCGTCATGCATGCTATGGTCCAAGGCAAGGACGACAAGCTGCAGTGGATGAATAGATTCATGAAGTCGTTCCAGTTCGAACCCTCTGGAATGCTCAATCAGGTCTACAAGGTCGAGAAGCCAAACGGTGTTGACTGGTACGATCAGGCTGTCTGGGTACACTGGGCTAAGAACGCCGGCAACGGACGCACATTCTACGCCGAATCTGAGTGCTCTTATGACTACCCTGGCAAGCCTCACTCGCCCGTCCAGGTTGCGGACTCCTGCCCACGAATCGAATTCCCCAACGGCCCCGACTACGAGAGTGATGATACATACTAGGACGTCTAGAATGCATCTACTTGAGGCTAGGAGAGGTCGACGACGCAGCTCACGCTGAGAGCCAGCAATCTCGCAGATGTAAGATACCCCTCGCTTGTTGTTGCAACTTGCTGACTTTGCCGCAGAGCCACCAGTGAACGGTAGCCACAAGAATGACGATAAGAATGTGCAAGAACAAATGAATCTGCTGACGCCGAGTCAACGAATCTCTCGAGAATCATGGAAATGGCACGGCTTGCGAGGGTAAACCCTACACCACGAGCAATCGAGAGGCTGCGGACTACCGCTAAGTGTATTGTCTGAAGATTTCAACCATCAGACACGCGCAACTGTTCGATAGAGCCGCCTCCGAACCGTCCTCCTTTGTGTTTTCCTTTTCAAGTTTTTCAGTCCGTGTCTTGAGCCTCATAATATTTGTCAGAGTACTCGAGGCAAGACGTAACGTTGCCAGAGTTGTGGAATTGAACCGGGTCAATGACCGTCTGGGGAGAAGGGAAGGGTTTGCTGGTCATGGGAAGCTTGGTTTTGCTACTTCGTGCAAAGGTCGGGACTCCTCAACGCCAGTATGGATGGCCGACAGATCCGGACTTGACCTTGGAATGTCACTGGTCTCTAGGTAGATAGCTCAAAAGTTTTTGATTTCAGTCTCCGATGCCAGTGACACGGAGAGCAGAGATGTCTAAGTATGGGAATCAGAAGACGTGCACCCTCGTGGACTTACCGTGATGCTCGCCGCTATGCTAATCATTACAAACAAAATGCGCAAATCCTACATAGCTAATAAAAAACCTACCGCTGCGAATCCCCATATATCACAGTCTGGGCATCATCAGCATACCTATCATGCCCGTTCCGGAACCCGCCCATGATCTGGCTCCAAATATGATCTTGATTTGCCGGGGGCGGGCGGGCATGTTCCGAGGGGGTCGTCGACGAGGAAGACCCGGCCTGTTCACGTTTAGACTGTCCAGAAGATACTGTTGGCGGATGAGAAACAGAACTGCGGTGGGACTCTACCGTGGACGACCAGCTGCTTCTACTCCCTAGTCCGCGACCGCCCCTGGAACCACTGCTGGAACCGTTCAAGCTCTCCGCTTCAAACCTAGCCTCCCATGCTCTACGCGCCGTGCTGGCCGCGCCGCTCACCGCTTCCTGAGGCTTGCGAGCAGTCGAAACGGGCGCCGGAGGCCGGTAGACTGGTGCTTCTGCTGCTACGTCCTGTGTCACGGGGTTATTCGCGCGACGGAGAGAGGGGGAACTCACTGCTTCGCTTGCGCGGGTGCTGGAATGGTTAGTACTGCGGGCAGATCTTTGGTTTGCTGGACTTGCCGAGCTGCTGCTGTCATGAGCCCGCTTGTTATCTCTTCCGAGGGTGTTCGCAATCTCCTGAAGTTCCGCACGAGCCTGGGATTCTCGTTGGACCATCGAGGCCGGGACTGAGTACGCTGACGTTGTCGAAGGCCGACGACAGAGGGACGGCGCCTGCTGGGAAACGGCATTCTGCCCCAGGGTCTCCATGCGAGTGGCGCTCAGTCTGGTTTGCTTTTGGTGCTCGGAGGTGCCGACAGATGGGGTGGTTGGTCTACGGGTATCGCCTGATCGGTAGTCGGCGGAGTGGTAGGTGGTGGGGATTCTCGGAACGCGTGTATCTTGGAATGGTGTAGGTGGCGGACGAGCAGACTGATCGGAGTTGCGTACAGACTTTCCCTCTGAAGCTTCTCTGGGGCAAGAGTGTCGAGCGGCATCGGATTGCTGTCTTGGGCTGGACGTCGGGGGTGGTGCGCGGTCTGAATGCTTAGAGTTGTGTGGAGTGTATCTCGGCGTGGCTGAGGCAGAGGTCTGTTGAGAAAGGGGAGTCTCTTTTCTCGACTGCGACGGCTCAGGAGCGTGCTGAAGAGCCTCGCGAGACTCGCGTCCGAAGAGCCCGGGGTGCATTGATGCTCTATCGAAAGATCGTCCACCGTTTTGCGCAGCCTGGCGCTCATAGTAGCTATTCATCTCGTCTTGCCAAAACGCGTTTCCTGCGTTAGTCTCGTCACCCTCGTTCACTTCATCTTCTTCAAACTCGTCTTCAAATGGGTTCTGGCGGGGACTCTGAGTGTTGTCGGACACGCGTGAGGAATGGTCGGGCCGCGGGTGTGACGTCTCCGGGATGTGCTGTCCGTGTCGGCCATCATAGCCCCTGGCCGGTTCTGACGCCGTTGAGGGCCGTCCAGATGAGCCCCATTCGGTCTTTGGGGGAAAACTCGCAATCGAATTATCATCACGCTTTGCCTTGGAGTATGGAATACTCTTCCCAGCTCGTCGAGCACGCTCTCGACGTTCATATCGCCGGACACCAATCTCGCGACGGATTGCGCGCAGCTTCTCTCCGAGTACCGCGCTCTCAGCGTGAAGGCCACTGGCACCCTGCTCAAAGGCATCAATCCAGGCATTGACCACACGAAGGAAAACCGGCTGGTACGAACCAGCACGAGAGAGCAGATGCGCGCGGAGGTCAACCAGCAAACGCGTATCGCCGCCGACGACCGCACACATGCACGCCTCGCACTGCGATCGCACCCTTTCCGTCTTGACAGGCGGGTAACCGTACAACTGCTCGAACGTGGCGCGGTCCATCCACAGACCTTGAATGCCGGTGACGCGACGGACATACTCCTGGTAGTCAGGTTCTTGGGCGAGATCAGACTTGTTTCGGACCAACCGACGCATCCGCTCAAATTTGTCTGTAACTTCGGAAGCAAGCAGAGCGAAGAGGCAGCGCATGCGCCAAGGGTTCAGGGCCTTGTGTGTGTGGCAGAGCATCGCTGCGTCTGGGACGAAGGGAAGAGACTGCCTAGCGGTGACATTCATGAGTCCGCGCTTCATCATGTCTATCACATTCAATGAGTTCGTCTTTGGTCGTAGTATCACCTTTGGAAGCTGACTGAGCTTTGCCTCTTGCTCTCTGAACCATTCATCCGGTGGATTGGCGACGCTGTAAGTTGTCGGCAAGTAGAGATAACGCGCAAGCTTTTTGATGCTGTTGTCTGTCAGCTCATCAATGAGAGTGATTGACATGTTGGTGGAAGCCTGTTGTTTAGATGGCAAGATCTCTGCTGTGTTCTCGAAAACTCGTTTAAGGAATGGCGATATAGTGGTCTCGTTGGCAATTCTGTGTTTATACCGGACTGAATTGAGTTGTCTTCATGCCGGGGACCGACCCTTTCTATAACGGCTGCTGTGCGATCATTCGTCCTCGGTGGAAACACTTCGCACTGAGAAGCCCCCGAACGCTTCCTTGGTTGTCGACAATGAGAACAATCTGGTAAGTTGTGTTGTTGAACAAAGAGCCACGAGCTTCGGAAGAAAGAACGACCCTGTTGACCGAAGTAAGAACCAAACATCTTTGCCAAAATCTTTGTTGGTTAAGATCATTATTCGAACACAGCCGAGAAGATGACCGGGAGAAAGACTCTGGGCCCAAAGACCGGCCGTGGCCGGGATTCAGGCCGCCTCGCATACATGAACTTCATCTTTTGGACTGCCTTGGCCGAGAGTTGGTCGCCGCTGCGACATCTGCACATGGTCACGTGTGTCCGGATTGGCGGTCTGCATGCAGCAGCAGCGTATGACAAAGGAGAAACGAATCATGCAACAACCAAGGTGGATCTAGAAAGACGTAAGCAACAAACCTAAAATGGAGACGGATCCCATATGCGCAACTTACGAAGTGAAGGCCACACAATATCGACGCCGAAATGCTATCTACCGTCAAGCAATTCCTAGTGTCAACCCGAGATAGAACCAGCAAAGTGGCGAGCCGTGCAAGACTGCCGTGGTGAGGAGAATCGCTCTATTGGGCCTGGCGATAAGGCACGCTCACTCATGAGACGTCTCTACTAAGCAACGCTTAATCCGCGCACGGGTCGGCCGCTCCTGATTTACTCAATCGTGTTGTTTCGAGCGTGGACCCCCTATCCAACCCAAAAATAATAAAAGTCTCCCCCATGCCCCATGTTCCATCAAGCCTGCCGCTAGAGGCAGGACGAGGCCGGCCTCTTCCGATCGAGACCGATGCCGATAAATCAAGTTGCACGAGCGCCGAATCCCTGGTCCATCCCACATCGTACAGACCTGATATCAAACCGGCCAACTCCCATATCATGCTCGACTTTGTTCGTTATAGACGTAAGGGTTTGAAAGAAGCTGTGTATACCCAAGGAAAATCATGCGTGTATCCTGTGAGAATCGTCCGATCTCATCCGCTCCAGTCGAATCTTGGCAGCCTCGGTGCCATCGTCCGGCGTTGCTGGCTCCTTGAACCAGGGATGCTGCAGCGCCTGCTTCGCGGTGATGCGGTGTTGGGGATCGTAGACGAAGATCTTCCGCAGAAGATCCAAGAAGTTCTTAAAGTAAGTAGTGTTCGATGGGATGATGTCCTAATTCGTATTAGTCTGCCGTTCTCAGATCTGGTGGTGGAGGGGGTGTCCAACCTCGAGACGCTTCATCGCCTTTACAAATCTCTTGGATGCACGTGTTGTCTCTGCTGTGGGGTAGTCGAGCTTGAGTCTCTTGAAGTACCTAAAGACAGATTAGCGTGCGTCGACGTGGACGGTGTTGCAGACCTACTTGGAAGCCGGATTTCCACCACTCCTGGTAGCCATCTTGTTGACCGCCTGGACGAGGCTGCTGTCGATTCTGTGGCCGACAACCATCTCCATCATTGCCAGATGCTCGAGATTATCGTGCGTCTGAAAGAGAGCGTCACCGGTGAAGAATTCCACAAGGATGCAGCCAATGCTCCAGATGTCGCAGGGGAACGACCACCCAAGGCCCAGGATGATCTCGGGCGCCCGATAATGTCGTGTCGAGACCACCGAGCTGTGGTATTCGTCCTGGAAGGTGGCTGAACCGAAGTCGATCAGTCTAATCTCAGTGTCGAGCAAGACCCTTCGCTGGTTGGCCTGGCGATTGACAGTCTGCGATGATGATGGTATCTTTCGGTTGTACGTGAATGTTTGATAAGCGCTGTCACACAGGAGGATATTCTCAGGCTTCAGGTCGGTGTGAATAAGGTTGAGATCATGAAGGACTGGAAACAGATCAGCAACTGGCTTCAAGGCTCTGGAATCGTAGGAATGTACTCACATGCAACGCTGGTGAAGAGCTGCCGAGCGAAGCTTTGGATCTGACTGTTAGGGAAGGGCACAAAGCTGTTGCTCTTGAGGAAGTCAAAGACGCTTTGTCCCAACAGATCCATGACGATGCAGATGTGGCCGCGGTAGTCGAAACAGTCCTTCAGGTGGATGCAACGATTGCGGTTGTCGCCATCATTTTGCCGCAGTGTTTCCAAGACTCGGAGTTCTATGCGCGAAGCATCTCGGTACTTTTGCACTGAGCGAATAATCTTGATGGCGACAGCCTTGTTCCTCTTTCTGTCTCGGGCTTGCACGACCTTGCCGAAGGTGCCCTGGCCGAGCAGTTTCACCATTTGGTCTACACACGATGTTAGTGTCAGAGTCAGTAAGTGACAAGAAAAAGTCTTACATCTGTCGGTCAGGTCTGCATCGGGAACCACGATGTAGTGACCATCGTCGTCGTCGACCTTTGCATTTTTGTTGTAGGCATGCTGTGTTCAGGTTAGCACCGTGTGTGGTTACGGTTGGGGGGCAGCAGTCACTCACGTCATGCACGACCTTAACGTGCACTTCCTGGGCCTTCTTGGGAGGGTAGGGAGGAGGCTTGTAACTGGAAAATGGGTCCGAGAGCTCAACCTCGCGCTTCTTTGCCTCTTGAGCAATCTGCTGTCGAGTTCGCTTTCTCTTCTGTCCTGGTTGGGCATCGTAGTACTCCTGGCCGTTTGAGGACAAGGAGGTGGCAGCGGTTGTGTGAATGGCGGAGGTCGTCGTCCGGTCGGTGGAAATGGTAGAGCCACTCGGGGTTCCGTTGTGATGGGGAGTGGTTGTGTGAGACCCAGCGTATTTATTGTGGTAAACGGGATCGTACGGCTGGGGCTCGTCGTCTCGCTTTCGCTTCTTAGGAACAGGACGTGTGCTGGATGCACCGTTGGTGGTGATGCCATTGACGCTGCCGTTAGAGACGACCCTTACACCGTTGCCGGTCGCCTTGCCCTGCTCCGGTTCGGGGGTATCGTCAATGACGATGACCTCTTTGGGCAGACCATTTTGATAAAACTTGTTCCAGTCGGGTCCCTGGGATCGTCTTCGCTTGCGACCGGAGGAGGACTGGGAGGATTGGGCGTGTGTGGTAGGCATTGCTGTGACCGAGTAGTTCGCGTCGGGACTCGAAGCGTCGTAGTTGATCCTCGAAGTAGCAGACGAGGCTGACAGGCCTAGGCCATTTGAGCCGGCGTGACTTGCAGACGAGGAGGCCGTGTAGGAGACGCCGGAATGGCTGGTGTAGGCAGGAGGCAACCTCGTCGTCGCCGTCGAGGAGGAAGTGGGGAGGATTGGGTTCGCCGGCTGACGGTACGAAGAGCCCGTAGCGGTTGACGCCTGGTACGGCTGATGAGAATACGGATAATGAGGATGGTGGTAGTGCGAGTGAGGAGGTAATGTCGCTGTAGCCGTAGTCGGAGTCGACATGTTTCTCCTTTGGTGGTCCCGGTGTCGTGAGAATGACCTAGGGGAAGGAGCGATGGGCGAGGAAAGAAGGTTGACGGTTGAGGGAAAGGCAAGAGAGAGAGGGTGGTGTTTCGCACGCAGTGCCTTCTCTGTTGCCGGCGGGTGTGTGTGTGTGGGTGGGTGTTGGTGCTGGGCGCTGGGTGCTTGGTACGTGCCCGGGCTGGGGGGACTCTCTCAAATCCAAACAGTGGAGGCTGTTCTGGTCGCCCAAGGCAATTTTGGGGGACGAAAGAAAGCGCACGATGGAGGGACTCAGTGAGCAGTAGTGCTCATCACAGTGCCCTGGTTATTGGGGTTTCTTTGGGGTATAGTGCTGAGCCTGCGGAGACTGGCTGAGAGGACACTACCGGGTGCTGGGCAAAAGGCAGCGTGCGTCTGCGTCTGCGTCTGCGTCTGCTGCGGTACCGCTAAGCCAGGAAAGGGCTCCAAGGGTCTTCGGCCTATGTTTCCCGAGTCGTGCACGACCTGTGGCTAGTAGGGTGCAGGTCGAAAGGTAACGTTGGGTCTTGGTGGTATCGAGAGAATTCGGTTCGGGGGAAAGCGACGTGCTACATCGAAGCAGACGATGGTATCGTCGAAGATGGTGAGAGAGAGACAAAGGTGGATGAAGGAAGAATGGAGAGGAGGGAGGCAAGAGCTGAGAGAAAAACAAGCAGTCTGCGGTCGTTGTGGTCAAAAGTGACGAGGTTCCGAGGGATGGCGGCCGGTAGCTGGCTTGTCCGTGGACCGTGGGTGTAGGTAGGTTGGCGGAGGGCCCTGACGGGAGGAGGCGACCAAATGTGGGTACGATTGGATTGGTTGTCTGCGCCCACGGGTATGGGCGACGACTGGAGGACCAGAAGACGAGGGCGTGGGAGTCGGCGCTGGCGTTGGCGTGGACCTGCGGACGCGAAGGAGGTGTACCGCCGTGTGTGTGTGTGTGTGTGTGTGTGTGTGTGCGTTTGGAAGCGGGATTGGAAGTGGAAGTGGACGAGAGGAGGGAGGATGAGGTGAGCGCGAGCAAAAGGTACTTTGCGGTGACGAGGTTTTTGGTGTCGTAGCGAGGTACCGGTCTTGGTGTTGGTGGATGTGCGAGCCGGCGTCTTCTTTGGGGGATGTCGAGGGTGGACGAAGATCCAAAGCAGACCAAAAGGTCCGAGGGAAACAAATTTCGTTATTTCACGGGTCCAGTAAAGCCCACTCGAGGTCCGAAGCTGGAAGGCAATGGATGGTCACGAATCAAGGAAAGTACTTGTTTAATTTTGAGTCGAGTCCGTGTCTTGGAGTCTATGAAGACGAACGGCATAAAATCACGTAGACGATATCGCCGACGAAGGTGGGTGCAAGGTAAGGTAGGTCGCGCTGGTTCAGTGGTTCTACCTAGGTAGTGCTGGTGCTCGCGCTGGTGCAGTCTGCCCGGTCTTTGGCGTTTGCCTGAGGGAGGAGGCGGCAACC